ACTGCCTGCTCAGAGCCTGGAGCCTGTTTCAGAGTCTGTGACTCCCTCTCTCTCTGACCCTCCCCTGCTCACACTGTCTCTCTCTCTCTCCTAGAAATAAATAAAGATATTTTTAAAAAAATGAACTCTAGCTTTAAATACCATTTGTAACTTTTTATTATGATGGAAAAAAACCCTGAATTTTTATAACGTTTCAGGGGATCACACACCGACAAAACCTCAGATTACTCTCTTTATCACAGAATGAGGAGAGAACGGAACCCTTGGACGTTTCATGGGTGAGCGGAGGAGGAGGACTCAGAGAAAGCCAGGGATCCGCCAGGTGAGAGGAAAACCGGAAGTGAGTGGGTGTCAGTGAAAGCGAGGGAGGAGTCTCAGGAAGTACCGGGTGGGGACTTCCGGTTGAGATGGTGTGGTCAGGTCACGTTTTGAAGCTTCTCTTGTGCTCCAAACACATGGTAAGACGAGGTAAAAATAGAAAACTAAAAAGACATAGTCATGTTCAAAAGCAAAATGAATGAATGAATGAATGAATGAATGAATGAATGAATGAATAAACGAACAAAACCCCCCACACCTCTGTGGACCAGGACTGGGACAGAAACCGAATGCTGAGTGGGGCTGAAGTTTCCCGGCAGGTGGTGAGGGTCTCCTTCAGGCAGGAGTATCCCAGAGCTGAGAGCCTTTGCAGGGAAGAGGAACCTAAGGGTCCCATGTGAGGCGGGAGACTATTGTGTCACTACTTAAATTCGGATGCTGGAGCAGGGCTCCATCTTTGCGCCTGCAGCCACTAAGGAAGCAAAGGGAAGCACGCAGAGCCAGCATATTGGCTCTCTGACTGGGTCATTTTCAGTTGTTTTTGTCTTTTTATTATGGATCACATTTTTCTGCTTTTTCACATGCCTGGCAACTTTTGTTTGGATGCCAGACATTATAAATTGTGCCTGTTGGGTGCCGGATATCTCTGTATTCCTGTAAATACTGTTGATCTTTGTTCTGGGATTCAGTTACTTGGATATGGTGTAATCCTTTTTGGGCTTCCTTTTGAGATTGGAAGAAGGCATCAGAGCAGTGCTCATTCTAAAGTATCTTTTTTAATGTTTATTTTTAGTTTTGAGACAGAGAGAGACGGAGCGTGAGCAGGGGAGGGCAGGGAGAGAGGGAGACACAGAATGTGAAGCAGGCTCCAGGCTCTGAGCTGGCTGTCAGCACAGAGCCCGACGCGGGGCTCGAACCCACGAACTGTGGGATCATGACCTGAGCCGAAGTCAGATGCCGAACCAACTGAGCCACCCAGGTGCCCCTAAGCAGTGCTCATTCTAGGGCAAATCATTCCCTCTACCAAGGCAGGAGTCTTATCAGCACTCAACCCAATGCCCTGTGAATTCTGAGATTTTCAAGTCCAGCGGGAGCAGGTATTATTCCTCGCCCTGTGTGGGTCCCTAATAGTGCTCCCTTTTATCTCTTCTGGTGGGTCTTCCTTCAGCCTCTGATAGTTTCCTCGTATGCACTTATTGCTGAGCTGAGCACTCCAGGGGACCCTCGCAGGTCTCTAAGTTCTGTCCCTGGGTAGCTCCCTGCTTTCTGGGACTCTGCTCTGTGGATTCTAGCTGCCTTGCTCTCTGCGGTCTCTCAGCTCTGATCTCTCCATTCAGGGAGTCGACCTGGGTTCTCCCTTTCTGCTCCTTAGCTGGAGAAACTGTAGCAATTTTAGCTTGGAATGTAGCTTTCATTGTTCGTTTCCCACCTCTTAGGGTCCAGTGACCTTCACTACCTCATGCCTAATGTTTCGAGAAACCCGATTTCATTTTTTATGTTTTATTTATTTAAAAAAATTTTTTTAGCATTTATTCAGTTTTGAGAGACAGAGAATGAGTGAAGAAGGGGCAGAGAGAGAGGGAGACACAGAATCCGAAACAGGCTCTGAGCCATCAGCACGGACTCTGATGTGGGGCTCGAACCCACAAACTGTGAGATCATGACCTGAGCTGAAGTCGGATGCTTAACCGACTGAGCCACCCAGGCACCCCAATTTTATTTATTTTTGAGAACAGGAGAGACAGAGCACAAGTGAGGAGAGGCAGAGAGAGAGGGGGAGACACAGAATCTGAAGCAGGCTCCAGGGTCTGAGCTATCAGCACAGAGCCCGACACAAGGCTCGAACCCACAGACAGCAAGATCTTGACCTGAGCCGAAGTCAGACACTCAACCACCTAGGCATCCCGAGAACCTCTATTTCTTATATTTTGTTTGTTTTGTGGTTGTTTCAGGTGGAAGGGTAAGTCTTTTCTATTTTTGCCACAAGTACAAGGCTTTGGAATTCTTCCTTAGTGGGAAACTATTTTCCTTTTGTTTTCTTTTTAAGGATGAGAGTTGCTTAAGCATGGTTGGGTTTTTTTTTTTTTTTTTTTTACGTTTTTTAAATTTGTATTTTATTTTTTTAGTGTTTTATTTATTTCTGAGAGAGAGAGAGAGAGAGAGAGAGAGACAGTGTGAGCATGGGGAGGGTCACAGAGAGGGACATACAGAATCTGAAGCAGGCCCCAGGCTCTGAGATAGCTGTCAGCACAGAGGCTGACCCGGGGCTTGAACCCACGAACTGTGAGATCATGACCTGAGCCGAAATTGGATGCCCAACCTACTGAGCCACCCAGGTGCCCCTCTGATTTCTTAATATTAGCCCATCTTACCATGTCCATGATGGCTAATTTTGTGTGTCACTTTGGCTACAATACAATATCCAGATATTTGGCCAGACATTATTCTAGATGTTTTCATGAACGTGTTTTGTTATTGTTGTTTTTTGGTTTTTTTGGCTTTTATTTTTAGATGAACTTAGCATTTAAATCAGTAAACTTTGATTAAAACAGATTATCCTCCGTAATGTGAGCGGGCCTTATCCAATCAGTTGACTATCTTAGTAGAAAATAAATGACCCCCCCAGAGGAAGAGTAAAATCTGCCAGGAGACTGCCTTCAGACTTGAACTCCACTCCTTCCCTCCATCTCTAGACCTTTGGCCCACTCTGCACTTACTGCTCTTGGGCAAAGAATGCTAATCCTAGACAATTCAGTAAGCAGGATAGTATGTGCTGCTATGCACTCTGTGCTTAAATTGGGAATATTAAAATTATGAAGGGATATTGAATCTCAAGTTCTTGAAATTTAGTCCTTATTTTAGATGTCATGGAAAAATTATTCTATCTAGGGAGGAAAATGTTCCAAGTAGCTATAAAATATGAAAACATTGACTTTTCTTAGTTCTTTGAATATTATTTTGCTACTTCATTGAAAAATATAAATTTTAATTAGAAATTTTTCTTCACACTGCTTGGATGGATATAGCCACTGAATCTTTTCTTTTACCAGAATTATCATTTTCAAACCACAAAATTCACCCTTTACAAATATGCAGTTCATTGGTTTTCAGTCTGTTAACAGGCTGTGCAGGGATTATCATTATGCACTTCTCAAACATTTTTGTCACCCCCAAATGAAATCCCATAACAATTAGCAGTCAGTCCATACTTCTTGGAAACCACTAATCTTTCTGTCTCTGTGTATTTGTCTATTCTGGACATTATTACATAAATGGAATCCTCTGATTGCATTTATAAGCCATCCACATTATATATCACAGACCTTTTGTGCCTGGTTTATTTCACTAAATATGATGTTTTTTTCAAGGTTTACCCATGCCTTAGTATATAATAGTACTTCATTTTTATATGGTTAGATAATATTCCATTGTTTTTACATACAAAATTTTGTTTATCCATTCACCAGTTGATGGATGTTTGGTTTGTTTCCACTTTTTGGCTATTGGGAATAATGATGCTATGAATATCTGTATACGGCATTTTGTAGAATATATGTTTTCAAGTTTCTTGGCCATATATCTCGGAGTGGAAATGCCGAGTCATTTAGTAGGTTTATATTTAACTTTTTTAGAATCTATCATAATATTTTCCAAGGCAGATATATCATTTTATATTTACAGAAGCAATGTAGAAAGTTTCCAATTTCTGTCCATTCTCACTAGTACTTTTTATTATTATTTTTTTATTATAGTCATCCTAGTGGGTATAAAATGATGTCTCATTGTGGTTTTGATTTGAATTTTCCTAATAACTAGTGATGTTCAGCATCTTTTTATGTATTTGTTGACCATTTGTGTACTTTCGGAGAAACATCTATTCAAGTTCTTTGTCCATTTTTAAATCGGATTGTTTGCCTTCTTGTTGAATTATAAGTTGCTTTATTTATTCTGGATAAGTCCATGATTTGCAAATATTTTCTCCCATTTTGTGGGTTGTCTTTTCACGTGATACTTTCCTTCAAAGCACAAGAGGTTTTAACTTTGACAAAGTCTAACTATCTGTTATTTCTTTGATTGCTTAGGTTTTCGGTATTATGTCTAGGAAATGATTGTTTAATCTATGGTCACAAAGATTACTTCTGTGTTTTCTTCTGAGAGTTTCATAGTTTTAGCTTTTATGTGGTTGATTTTTAGTTATTTTTTTGTGTTGGTGTGAGGTAAAGATCTAACAACCTCCTCCTCCTCCTCCTCCTCCTCCTCCTCCTTCTTCTTCTCCTTCTTCTTTGTATAGATATACACTTGTCCCTTCAATGTTTGTTGAACAGACAATTCTTTCTCCCATTGAATTTCTTGGTACCATTGTCAAAAATGGGTAGACCATAAATGTAAGGGCATATTATGGACTCTCAATTCTATTCCACTGATTTATATGTCTATTCTTATATCCATACCATAATGTCTTGATTACTGTAGCTTTCTAGCAAGGTTTTAAATTGAGAATCTTTTCCAAGATTGTTTTGACTATTCTGTGTCCCTTGAGTTTACATATGCATTTTATGATCAGGTTGTCAGTATCTCAAAAAGCCAGCTGAGATTTTGGTAAGAATTATATTGAGTAAGTTTGGGAGAGTACTGCCATCTCAACAATATTAAATCTTCTGATCAATTAACATCGGGGTCCAAAGCAGGATTCAGACAACAGTGTAGCTGCTAAGTGCTGTGTAGTAGCTCCGTCTGCTCAAAATAAAGTCGTTTCCTGACTATACCTGTCTGCTCTACACTGTAGCAGCCAGGGATGCTTGATTTCATAGATGTTAATAAAATTAAATTTAAAACAGAAACATAAGATGTCCATTCATTTTGGTCTTCCTTATTCTTTTTCAACAATGCTTTATAGTTTTCAGGGTACAACTTTTATATTTCATTTGTTAAATTTATTCTCAAATATATATGTTTTGGGATGCTATACTACATAAAAATTGCTTTCTTAATTTCCTTTTTGAATTTTTCATTGCTTATGTATAGAAATGCAATTGATTTTTTTGCATATTAATCTTGTACTTTGCAACTTTTCTGAATTTGTTTGTTTTAATGGTTTTCTAACATATTCCTTTAAGCTTTTTTTTGTATACAAGATTATGTAGTCTTCAGGTAGAGACAGTTTTACTTCTTCTTTTCCAGTTTGCATGCCTTTTTTATCTTTTCCTTATCTAATTGCCCTAGTTAGACCTCCAGTATAATGTTGGATGGAAGGAGTGAGAGTAGACACCCTACTCTTATTATTAGGGGAAAAGCAGTCATTATTTCACCAATAAGTATGCTGTTAGTTGTAGGTTTCTTTGTAGATGGCCTTTATCAGATTAAGAAAGTAATTTTCTATTCCTTGTTTGTTTAATGTTCTTATTATGAAGCAGTGTTGGAATATACAAAATGCTTTTTCTGTATCTATTGAGGTGATGAATGTATACTATTGACAGTTGATATGACATATTACATTAATCAGCCATTCTTGGAATTAATCCCTATTGGTCATGATGCATAATCCTTTTTATATGCTGCTAAATTTTGTTTGCTATATTTTAATGAGGATATCTGTGTATTAAAAGATTTTTTTCCTTGTTACATCTTTCCCTGGTTTTGGTATCAGGGTAATACTGGCATCATAGAAGCATTAGGAAGTATTCCCTCCTCTTCTGTGTTTTGAAAGAGTTTGTGAAGGATTATTGTTAATTATTCTGTAAATGTTAAGCAGAATTCACCACTACATTCATTGGCTTTTCTCTGTGGAAAATATTTTGATTACCAGTTCAATCTCTTTTTTCAGTTCTATTCAGAAATTTTATTTCTTCTTGAGTCCATTTTGGTAGTTTGTGTCTTTATCTGAATTTGTCTGTTTTATCTAGATTATCTAATTTGTTGGCATACAATTGTCCATAGCGTCCCCTTATAATACCTTTTGGTTCTTCTTGTTGTTGTAAAGTCAGGAGTAATGTCCTCTCTTTAATTCCCTGATTTTAGTAATTTGAGTGCCATCTCTTCATTTTTGTCATTCTAGTTAAATGTTTAATTTTGTTGACTGTTCTTTATTTTTTACTATCCATTTTATTTATTTCGACAATAATAATGATTTCTCCCTTTTGTTGTATTTGGTATAGTTTATTTCTCTTTCCTAGTTTCTTAAAATACAAGATTAGGTTATTGGTTTAAAGTCTTTTTTTTTTAATATAGGCAATTACAAGCATGGTGGATAATTAAAAAACATTTTTTATGCTTATTTATTTTTGAGAGAGACAGAGAGATAGAGTGCAAGCAGCGGAGGGGCATAGAGAGAGGGAGACATAGGACCCGAAGCAGGCTCTCGGCTCTGAGCTGTCAGCACAGAGCCTGATGTGGGGCTTGAACCCACGAACTGCGAGATCATGACCTGAGCTGAAGTCAGATGCTTAACTGACTGAGCCACCCAGGTGCCCCAAACATGGTGGATAATTTTATGTGTCAGTTTTGACCAAAGGATGCTCAGATAGCTGGGAAAACATTTTTTTTTTCCTAGATGTTTCTGGGAAGGGGTTTCCAGAAGATCAATATTTGAGTCAGTAGACTGCATAAAAAGTATTGCCTTCACCAATATAGACAGGTGTCATCCAATTCCTTGAGGATGTGAATGGAACAAAATGGTGGAGAAAGGGCAAATTCATTCTTTCTGCTTGAATTGAGGCATCCATCTTCTCCTGCCTTTGGACATCGGCTGGGCTATTTCTTAGGCCTTCAGACTCCATCTGAATTACACTACCAGATTTTCTGGTTCTCCAGCTTGCAGATAGCAGATCTGGGGACTTCTCAGCCTCCCAATCCCATAAGCCAGTTCCTATGAGAAATCTTCTCTTATATATACCTTGTTGGTTTTGTTTCTCTGGGGAATCCTGACTCATACAACAGATATAAATTTGCCTCAAGTGCTGTTTGCGTTGTCTTCCTTAAGTTTGGTTTGCTGTGTCTTCAGTTTTTTTCCATAAGTATTTATCATGTGTAATGTGTATCACATCGTACATAAATATAACATTTTCTTTTCAAAGTATTTTCTGATTTCCTTTGTGATATCTTCTTTGATTCTTTTTTTTTTTTTAGAAGTGTTGCTTAATTTCCACATATTTTTGAATTCCCAAATGTCCTTCTATTACTGGACAAATACGTTGTATTATTTTCATCTTTTTAAATTTATTGAGGCTTCTTTTATGATAACAAAAATTCTATTCCATGTGCACTTGAGAAGGATGTGGGTTCCACTGCTGTTGCATGCAGAGTTCTAGAGATATCTGTAAGGGCTACATGGTTTATGCTATGGGTCAAGCCTTCTTTTTCTTTGTTGGCTTTCTAGTTCTACCCATTACTGAAAATGAGATATTGAAGTTCCAACTAACTATTGTTGAATTTGCTAATTATTTCTTAAACTCTAAGAGTTAAACTCTTTAGACTTTAAGTTTAACTCTTAGAGTTTCTGCTTCATGTATTTTGGGACCCCGTTGTTAGGGTCTTTCTTCTGGCTGCTCAAATCTCCTGTTGAAATCCCTTTAGTGCATTTTTCATTAAGTTTATGTATTTCTCAATTCCAGAATTTATTTTGGGTTCTTTTTTATAATTTATCTCTATTGATACTCTTCACTTGGTGAGACCTCATTCCCATATTTTCTTTAGTCTTTAGGCACAGTTTTCTTTTAAAAGCTCTTTGCACATATTTAAAATTACTCATTTAAAGTACATGTCTAGTAGATTCAACGTCTGGGCTTCCTTAGGGATAGTTTCCTGTTGGTTGCTTTTCTCCTCCTCCTGTACAGGCCATGCTTTTATTGTTTCTTTGCTTGCCTCATAAGTTTTTGTAGCTGAGTGGATATGCAAAACAAAATAATGTGGCAGTTCTGGAAATCAAGTTCATCCTCCTTCCCAGCGTATGCTGTTGTTGTGTCTTGTTTCTGTTTGTTTAATGACTTTGCTGCATCAATTCTGTGAAGTCTGTTCTCTTTGTCATGTGTGGCTACCTGGGTTTCTACTTGGTTAGTATAGTCGTCCACTAATGATTGGACAGAGGTTTCCTTAAATTCCTGAACCATTAAATCTCCCAGTCTTTGCTCAGGGGCTTTCTCTGTGTATTGGGGCACTACTTCAGTGCTTAGCCAAATAATTTACAATTTTGCCTTAGCCTTCACTTCCTGCTTGCACAGAACCTCAAGGTCAGCCAGAGGTGAGAGTTTAGGGCCTTCCAGGTCTTTCTTAATCATATGCGCAGTTCTGGAAATGTGCACAGACCTACCTGTGTTTGTGACCTGCTTAATTCCCAGGAGCATCTCAGAGCTTTTCCAAGCCTCTATAGAATTCTCATTCCCCAGAGTTTTCCTTTAAAATTTTTAGTCATCCGGTTATTTCTCCCAACTGTTATTTACCAATTTAAGCAGCTTCAAAGTTAAACAATTGCCTATAATTGTTTTTGATCATGTGCTTGGGGAAAAGACTTTTTGCACTGAATCAGCTCTGAGTCACGCTAAATAAAGCCGTCTTTATAAGTAGGGTCTTCCAGGAACTAACAGGTCAAATAGTGACAATTCTCTTGGAATGAAGCTTTATAGGAGTGCCATTTTCTACCCTCCAGTGGCTTCAAAGCTGCTGGTTTTCACTGTGATTTTGAGCTGTCCATTTTCAAGGCTACAGTCCTTAACCAAGATTCAGCTGTTTTTCTTAAAAACAAACAAACAAAACAAAACAAAACAGAAAAAACAAAAAACAAAAACACTACCCAGGTTGCTAGAAGTCTTTGGTTAATTTCTAGCATTTTGAAAATATTGATTCTGACAACTTTGGTGAGTTTTCTCATTGCTTTTATGGAGAAAAGAATTTTCGGAGGTGCTTAATCTGCCATTTTTGCTGACATCATCCCCTTTCCCACTGAATCTTGATATATATTATGTATATCATTAGATCTAATCATAAGGGCAATAAATTCAGTGCCGATTCTCCTGTTCATCTGTAGGAAGGAGAATGTTAACAGGTCCCACATATGTTGAGGAATTCACGTTCAGTCTTTTCTGAAGTTTTCAACTTCCCTTGATGCAAGAATCAGGCAGAACAGTGGAACCGAGGAGCCACTAGCTGCTGGGATTCAAAATGCTTGTTTAACACATCCTCGTATGTAAACATTCTCCTGTGCATGTGTATGTTTGCTTCTCCGTCTTCTCAATAGCTTGTCTATGGTAAGACCTTCCATGGCAGGGGCTGAAACATTCTCTGGAGAGAAGTGGGTGTCAGAACAGCTGTGATCAAAAGGCTTTCCCTCCAGATACAAGAGGGAAAGCTACTTAGACGAAGAGGTGGGCTTAACTATTTGGATCTATGATTATACAACTTGATATTCTCTGGTACTTTTATAAAACAGTTCCTTGGTGAATAAAAATTAACAGAAAGAATTTACCTTCTTTTATCCTTATCTCCTAGATACTCTCCCATACAAGCACAAGTCTGTCACTACTACCAAGTAGTGGCAATTCTGGAAATAAGTAGTCATTCCAATTCTGGAAATGACAATAGTCATTTAACATGTATTCAATCAATAGATTCTGTGATGAACCCAGTTAACTTAAGTTCATTCTTTCAACAAAGACATGGTGAGCATCTACTATGGAGTAGGCATGTGATTACATTTGGCCATCATTCTCTAAAAATTCCAGAATTCTCCTATTCCTTCTATATCTTGGTTGCAAATCATGGACTATGGAATTGACCTTATTTTTTACTGCCCCTTGTTTTATTATAAACACAGCGCAAAGT